GCTTTCAGTCAATGCTAAGCTAAGCTAAAGTATTCTGACTCAAGCTGACGCGCTCTGATATTGTTGAAAGTTTTCCTTTAATATGAATCCCTCCATCTCTCTCTCTTTCAGAGGCAGACGGTCGAGCTGATCCCCATCACTCAGGTGAACTACAAGTGGAAAGACAAGAGCTACGTCTACTACGTGTACGGCAACGAGCGCAAAGTCAGTGCTGACAACTACCCAGAGACCTGCTGCTGCGTCATCCTGTAGACTCACAAATACACACATAAAATTCAGAAGCAGAATGTGCAGCCATCACTTTGGGTTGTGAAGCTCAAGCACACTTGGCTTATGCAGCAGGACAATGTCTGAAATGTTCAGAGTCTACCTCTGAATGGTAAAAAAAATAAATAAATAAAAAAAATAAAAAATAGATAAAGAACAAAAAGTGAAGGTTTTAAAGTGACCTAAGAAAAGTTTGGACTTATATAAGATTGCGATTTTTGCCGTTCATGCTCAAAAACTCTTGAGCGTGGCTGAATTTAAACAATCCTACAAATAAGAGCTGGCTATTATTCCTCTACAGCTATATGAAAGAGTCATGGCCAGTTATCACAAATGTCTGACTGCAGTTTTTGCTGCCAAGGGTCGCATAAGCTCTTATTAAGTTTAGGTTTAGCGGCAACTGCTTTTTACCCCTTAAGCGTAGAAGGCTGATTATTAAGCTTTGAGTAGTGGCATTTGATTAAAACATTTATTCAATATATATTACACATATAGTTTCAAGCATGTTATTACATATATTGTAAGAATGTGCTTATGAAAGAGTTGGCCTTCTGTCTGGGATGAGGTTACAAGCTTTATCTGGTGAGATGAGAGGTGAGACAGAGTGCAGTGAGGTCGAGACAGTTCGCCTGCATACACAGACAGTATATAGATTCATTTCTAGGTTCGAGTTAAGATATATTTTGCTTGTAACTGCATTTTGTGCCTGCATAAGCAACAGTTTTTGTAGAATGTGTTTCTGATGTTCCAGAGATAAGCAAGAATAAGAAGATCAAAAGGAAGCACCTGGCGTGGAGACGGAGAAAATGTCTTGTTGAGTGTGTGTCAAAGGTTGTCAACAGAAGAGCTGTGGTTACTGCAACTTATGCATGTTATGTATCTGCTTTGGCGCATGAAGGGGCGTTATACCCTGACATATAAAAACATTTTAAGTATGCTGTTTTGGGGGATTTATGCTGAGGATTGTGATGGTGTATTTCCTTCACACAAGTGTTTAATAAAATCATTGTTTTGACACACTTGGACCAGCAGTCGTTTGTCTCACACCTCAATCACGAATCGGGACAAGACACACCGGTCCACTGCATCCATTTCACACTTTGCTTCTCTAAAAAGTGAAACAGACAGGCACGCAGAAGTTGCATCACCAGCAGGGGTAGATAATATATTAAAGCCACCAAGTCAGTAGTGAACAAAAAACATATGATGTACATTCCAATGTCCTTAATCACCAGAAATGATTAAGCAGGGCAGATAATAATATATATTTATATATGTAAATAGGTTCATAATGTCTGTTTAAACACTTTCCTGTGATTATTTTCATGTAGGCTTGAAATAAAATATCTCCCTCCACTGTTACTGCAACTTACTGCAAGTTCTGCATGCGTGTCCTTATCATACTTTGGAGATATCAGATGAAGATGATTCAAATTTTTGCAGGGACTTAAGGACATTTGAATTTTTTTTATATAATAGAATTATGAATATAATATGTACCTTCACACAATGTTTATAGCAAGTCGCTGTAAAAAAAACTGCAGCACTTTGTGAAGGATGGCTACATTTGGGCTGGGTTTATTTGTTTTCACATTTACACTAACAGGAAATGTTTACTGTTGGTGATTTTTGTAATATAATGATGTTGCCAATCAAACTACTATCCTATAATTACCAATTGCTGTACACTTACTCTTCCTTACTGCCCACTTAATTTCACTTCCTGTGGAAGGTTTTTGCTATGCTCTGAAGGCAAAAACCAGCCTCATGTGCCTCTAACTGAAGGTGTTTCTGTGTTACCAAAAAGTTTACTCCAAACATGTGCCAGTATGTGCCACTATAGCATCTTCAGTATTACAAGAAAACATCCTTTTATCCATCTAAAACTTTCAAAAACAATGGCGTGCTACTTTCTGTAGACGTGACTTCAACTTTAAACAATGTGTGATTAAATGTTTCCTCTAGAAAAAAATCTGACTAATCACAGTTGAAAGGTGAAATAAAAACATGAGATGATGGCATTAGCCTGTGGGTTAACCTCTTAATATGTTGCCTTATGTGTTCCATTTAATATACTATCTACAGTCCTGTTCTCTTTTGCTGCTTATGCTGCACCCATCAGTAAATGGTGGAGGCTCACAAGGACAACACACAAGTTTCTGAACTCTGCGTGAGGGTTTCTCCGACGAAGTGAGGGCCATGAGGCACAGCTCCCCATCCCCAGGTGACCCTGCTAGGTCCACCTTCTTAGGGAAACCCAATGCAGAGGAGCCGAGAGAGCCAGGAACTTTGAGTTGTGTTTGTCCACTCAGGCATCATTCATACTTGCTGTGTAGGCAAGTTCCTGTCAGAAGGAGGAGGCACAGCAGGTGCGCCGGGGGGCGGAAGACGGTGCCTCAGTGCCTCTCTCCTTCTGACATTGTTAAAAAAAA